AACCAAAACTTTAAATTCTAAGTTTGGGCCTAATGTAACCCTAAGAAATTCATGAATTTTTCTTCAATTTAATTGAGGTTTTTCATTTTCAAACATTAATTCACACCAAATTAAGTCATAATCAGGCTCTAAAACATCAATTGAACATAAGGATCAAACATCCCCGATTTCTCCTTTTTGGCCGAATGGGTACCCTTGAATAACCTAACAAATTTTTGAATTTTAAACCTCAAATTTAAGTCCAACTAACTTATCCCAATCTTAATTTCATGAATTACAAGCTTAATTTCATTTTTCTCAATTTTACTTCATCAAGAACCATAACCCTAATTTTCAAAACTAAAGCTAAAATTCATAAATTAAAGCACATAAATCACAAATTAATATCAATTGAACAACCCTTATGATGTTGGTGGAGTTAACTCACCTAATTAAGCTCCAGTTAAACCTTAGAAGGTTGGATGATTGAGAAATTTCCTTCTTCCTCTTTTCTTCACCAATTCGACCTAAACTCCTCAATTTTCTCTTGATAATTCTTGATCTCCTAGCTTGATTTCTTGGCTTGATTAGTTGATTTAAGGCATTTAGAGGTCATTTAGGTGGATTTTGGATGGAAATCCCTAAGGAAATTTTGCAAGATTTTTCCTTTGGTTCTAGCTACTTTTTATGCATTTTCTCTAATATCTTGCACCCCTATTTATAGACTAATTAGACTTTTGACCTCATCTCCACCATTGAATTGTTGTGTTTTGGAGTAATCCTAGCCCTTCAAATGGATAAGTTTTTAGCCTTTAACCTTTCTTTAATTTTTAGCCTTCCATTTTGCATCTTTTTAGTATTTCCTTTTAAACTAAGTCAAAACCCATTAATTAACTCCTAATCATGGAGCCAAATTTTGGGTAGAAGGGCGGAGAAGTGTCCAAAAATTTGCTTAATTTAGGTCCCTCATTTTACTAATCTTTTCTCTAATTACTCTTCCAATCATTCTTTAATTTTTCAATTGACCACTTTAGGTCCATCTTAAAGGTATCTTAACAACTTTTAAACTCCTTAGGTTCATAGCTAAATTTAGAAGTTTAAACTTTTAATTCTATGCAATTAGGTCCCTAATTTCTATGCATTTAGGTCCTTAATTCTAAAATTTTATTCTATGCTTTCTCAAAATTCAATTTCTTTCAAAATAAATTTAAAAATTTATTAAAATAATTTAATCATGATTTACATAATTTTTATACCTTCATTTAGGCCTCTAAATTAATTATTTAATGTAAAAATTACACTATTTCCTATAAGAAATATTCCTTATATATGAAAATTTTAATTTTAATTTATTATATACTCCTACACATCCTAAACAATTTTTTTTTGTCCTTTAAAAAAATTTCCTATACTTTTTAATTGCCTAATTTAATTATTGTATCTCTAAAACACTATTCCTACACATAAAAAATAAAATAAAATATTCACATCCTATCGGAAAATTCATACAACCAAATAAAATAATTTAGCACCCCTCTAAAAAATATTATAAGCAAAAAAAATTTTTTTATACACATGCAATATGCTGAAAATAATTATTTCATGTAAAAGTTATCATTCATTCACCGTAAAATCAATAAAATATTCATTAAGCATAAAAGGACTATTTTAACTACTCTAAATATTCTTTCAAGCCCTTGAGGATTATTTTATACCTTCAAAACATTTCTCGGATGTATTGAATATTCAATTTTTTATTAAATTTTAGTTTTAGTGGGTATCGATGAGTATAGGCTGGGAGGGCCTGGGTGGCGTGGGGAGGAGTTTTGTTTGGCGGCTATAGTGAGGGGAGGAGAGGGAGAGTCCGAAGTGGAGAAGATGAAGAGAATCGGTGGGTATATAGGTTTTCAAAGTAGCGACAAACGTGATTCCATCGCTATTCCGTCACTAATCAACGATGGATTTGTCTATCCGTCACTAATTTGAATTTCGAATGACTACTCAAAATCTCTAGAAACTTTAAGAAATTTTCCAAATTAGCGACGAATTTGTCTATCCATCTCTAATTAGCAATAGAAATGGCATCCATCATTAATTTGAATTTCAAACGATCGCTTGAAATCTCTCAAAATTTTTAGAAATTTAACAACTTAGAGATGGATTAGTCTATCCGTCGTTATTCCATATCTAATTAGTGACAAAAATGGCATCTCGTCTCTAATTTGAAATTCAAATCCACCAACAAAAATTTGTCCTATTAATCCATAAACTGTTTGTCGGTTAGCGATGGATCTTTTTCATCGCCGATTATCGATGAATAGCAATGGTTGTCTTTCAAATGAAGAAAATAACGATCGACGTTATACTCCATCATAATATAACGACGTAATTCCATCATTGTTCCCTCCCTAATGTTGGCATTTTTCTCACAACGTTATTTAACAATGGAATATTTTCGATCGCTAAGATTCTGTCTCTATTCCATCGCTAAAATCACCATTTTATATGTCGTCGCTAATCCTTCGTAAAGTAGTAGCTATTTAGATATGAAACTAAATCCATAACTAAATGTCATCGCTAATTGCCTTTTTTTCTTGTAGTGCACATATCTATCCTCTACAGACTTAATCTTAAATTATAAAGTGCATGGAGTAATATTAATTTTTAGCCCATATATAAATGCTATATGTTATGAACTCGCAAGAATTAGGGTATTTATTTACTAGGCCTAGATGCTTTTTTTATTTTTGACCATGATCATTGGTCAAGTAAGAAATATACATGCTCGTTAGCATGATAGCACATCATGAGCTAATAATGTATGGAAACAACAACTTTTGGTATCTATAAAGTAGAAAACTAAGAAAGATAAATAAATAAATGAATAAAAAAAAGTGTGCACACATTGCTCATGTAACAAATCATAATTTTTTAGTTGGATATTCGTTTTATGCAAATCTTATTTAGAGTTCTATAGCTTCACGGTGAAAAATTAAAAACCGAGTTAAATGCCATTTTTGAGATCAAAATCAACTTCAAAAAACCACTTGCAAGCCTTTTCAAGATCTAGACCTAATAAGCTAAATTGAATTTTCCTTTACTTGTTAAACAAAATGGTTCATGGAAAGCTTACAAGCAAGTGAAAAACCACTTGCAAGCCTTTTCAAGATCTAGACCTAATAAGCAAAACTGGATTTTGCTTTACTTGTTAAACAAAGTGATTCATGGCAAGCTTAAAAGCAAGTGAAAAACTCACAACGACTTCATCCTATGTTGCATTTGTTTCTAACCGCAGAAAGACGAACGCTAAGTCGGCCATAATTATTGTCAAGTTATTAATATTCTAAATTTATTTTTTCTCTACCTCACTACACATAATTGCACGGACATCCTTACCGACAAGATTGTTCATGCAATGAGCTAAATGTATAGGTTCAATTTTGTTCATAAAAATTAATCAAATAACTTTGCTAATTTGTTATAATATGCTAATTCATGTTATCTTTCTCAATTTTTTTTTTAAATGGGATCAAAATACATTACAAATGAATTGGATTGGGAACGAGCCTCATTTAGCACTAAGTCATGGGTTGCAAGGATGGACACAGGTGTTCTAGCAAGGTCGGTGTCCATGCCTTATTTTTTGGATACATTAGGGAGATTGACTTGGTGGGCTCAAAGCAGAGTACCTTGAAAAAAAAGCCAATTGTTACTTTCTTTAACCTTTGCTAGTAAGTTAAAGTAGTTTAGTACAAAGGCATGATCCAAACGGTAAAAGGACATGTCCTTTCATTATAAATACCGACTTCAAATTAGTGGAAGACATCAAGACTTTTGCATCGGAGAACTTTAGACTTTGGAACTTTCAATTTTTAGCCAAAAAAAAAAAAAAACATTTGAACTCTCTATCCCAAAAGTCCTCCACTCACACACCATATGACACCTAAAGCTCCAAGCTATTTGGACGTTAACTATCCACCTATCGCTCACATAACTTGCATCTTGCTAGCATTGTTTACTTCTCTTCTTATACCTCTCATTATTTGTATTTTTTTCTATTTGGTTGTCTAGTCGTTACTTCGATTAATTATCAAGATCTCTCTCGTCATATATATATATATATAAGTGAATGATAGTGGTTATTATAGTTGCCCCTCAAAATTTAAGTCAAGCTCGCCATTCCAGCCGTCTTAGTATATGCTTGTTGCAATTCTTTTGGCTAGTGGTTTTAATTTTTGTTTAAATGATGAAGGGAATAGTTTCTTGATACATGAATGGAAGGAAGGAAAAATATTTAGATCTAATGATGTGATTTTCTTTGTTTGCCTGTAACATACCATACAATGTTTAGGGGATCAAAGCCAAGAAACTTGTTTAAAGGTCAAGGACCGGAATAAATTGGTTTGACAATAAATAAATTACCGAGCATGTGAGATCCAAGATAACTCTTCCGTTGCCGAGACTTAAACTCGTCTCTCTCGGGTGAGAGCCGTGTATGCTAACCAGCTAGACTACGAGGGAAGTTTATCAAAGGACAAACATTACCATATAAAATATATTAATTTTATTGGCTGTTGAAACTTGAAAGGCAATCATCAGAGACAGGCGTGCAATTAAAGGTTTTTACTTCCGCTATTGAACCGTGGGAAATGGAGAAACACCGGGTTCTAAACCGATTCCATACTTGCATTTTGAAACATGGATGATATTCTTTATGCTCATCTGAGCCCCTCGCTCACTCACTCGTGCGTGCACAACTAAAGCAAAGCATATTGGTATGGATGGAAGTGGAAGAGAGTACGAAAAAAATTTCAAATTATATTAATTCTCAAGGTACAATAGCCGAACCTTCTCGGATAGAACACACACCTCTACTTTACAGTAACTCAAACAATTAAACCTTAATGTTATAACAAGCAATGGCTTAGAAGAATGAATGAACATTAAAACGGTTGAGTGCTAGCCCTAAACGTAAAGCCTTGGTTTTGCTTCTCTTCTTCCTTTAACTCTTAATGCGTTCCTCATCGGTCAAAGAATCCAGGACCTGCCTGTGAAAGAAGTTCCTTGCCGGCATCCTTTCCCATTGCAATCATATCAACAAAAGCATATGGACCTTTTCTAGAAGTTTCGAGTACTGAAATACAGAGAAAAAGAGGAAAAGCTTTATGATCATAAAGGGCAGAAGCTGCAATACTGGGCATATATACTCATTGTTCATTGTAAAAGATTATCATACCACGGGTTCCATCAGGAGAAGCAACAAGCCCTTTAAATATGCAATCACCATTTTTGTCTTTTCTAGCATATCCAGCAATAGGAGTCCGGCAGGACCCATCTAAGGTTTCAAGAAAGGCCCTCTCACATGCAACTGCTAGTCTTGTTTCCTCGTGGTTCAACGAAGCCAAATAATTAGCCTGTGAAAGGCAGTAAACCAAAAGAACAGGAAAAGTTTTAGGAAGCCAAGTAATTAACCTGCAAAACCCACACCTGAACTGCAGCCATCTGCAAACCATTTCACAGGCTGACAATACATACATAAAGTCTCCAGGTACTGATATTAATATATATCCTACAGCAGTTAAACTGGATGTGCAGATTTTGACTTAAATATTCCATGTATGCAAGCTTAGATAGAGTATAACACACCATTTTATTGTTATTGCTTCGACAGGCAATTCCAATTGCACCTTGGGCAACTGCTGGAAGCATGTCATCGATTGGAAGAACGGAAGATACATTCTCTGTCATATTTAAGCGTTTAAGTCCAGCTAAAGCCAACAGTGTTGCTTTTACAACTCCTTCGTTAAGTTTTCTCAGCCTTGTCTGAACATTGCCCCGAAAATTTTCTTCCACCTACAAAAAGATACCATACAAAAATATAAATTATAAGCAATATAAAGATGTCAATGATCAAGAAATACCCGAGAACCCAGAGAATACGCTCAATAAAGGCAACTCAACAAGGTAAAAAAAAAGGTGAAAAATCTTAGTAATGACGACAACTACCTCAGAGTGCTTGCTTTCCTAACCTACAAGAATATCAAAGATTGACTGTTTCTTTCATGAAACTTTGCATTTCAACAAAGCCAAGCGATATTTTCTTTCAAATAAATTTTCATAAATCCCAAAGTACCTCTCTAGATTTCAAACAGAAAAATGAGTCCTACTGTTGATGGCAATGGTTGTTGACAATTATAAATGCACCACAAATATCACTTTTCTCTTGCCTTGAGCAAACTTACTTCTATAGAACGCTATCAGTCTCCAATGCATTTGGAACTCATTACTCAGACCCATAGTTACCTTCAGACTCAAACTACAATAACTTGATTGGGTCTAAATGATACAACTTAAGTTCTACCTTGTGCAATTCACACATCATGATTTCACCACTTCAATGGAATGGAATGGTTTTAAGAGCAAGATCACATCTCAAGGTACACATACAAATGTCAGCTCCATATTAAATAAACAGGCAAGATATCTTCTATAAGCATACTAATTAACTTTCATGTAAGAGAATCAGAACAATTTCCTATCATTTTCCAGGCAGAACTTTATTTTGAAACAGGTGGCTCAATAAACTTACACTGAGTGATGGATATCTGTGGAGTATTTGTGACTTTCTTCTGAGTGAGGCAGTTCCAATGATGCTACCAGAGGGAAGATCTGCTAGTGAAGCTGCACTCAAGGAAATAAAAGCATCTCTAACATCCTCACGAGGAAGGTTACAGGGAAGAATTGTCTTTTCTGGTAAATATGTTGGAACATCTTTCATTGAGTGGACAGCAATGTCAATGTCACCATTTATTAGTGCCTCATCTATTTCTTTCGTGAACAATCCCTTCCCACCGATGTCTGCAAGTGGTTGACTTAGTATCTTATCTCCTGTTGTCTTTATTATCACAATTTGAATAGCTCCTTCAACAGCTAGCTCCGAATGTGAAGCCATAAGCTTGTCTCGTGTCTCATGAGCTTGAGCAAGTGCAAGCGGGCTATCAAACATTTGAAAACAGGATCAAGAAGCAGAACAACATAACTAAATCCAAAATATCTGGCAAAAGATCATAAAAAGAAACGAAAATTTTAATTGTCTTTTCCATTCAACAACATGTTAAGGTCCAGTAACTAATATCTAGCCACAAAGAAATGTCAAATGCATCATTTTCTAACAAAATTCATTGAATTTAAGCTCCAGAACATAAAAAAGTGAAAGCTTTTGGATCACTATAACCAAAACATACAGAGATTCAACTACAAAACACCAACAGCTAATACATTTAATAATTGAGACAAAATCAAAACAACATTTCACAGACAGAAGCTAATCTAGAAGATGAAACTAAGTAAAAGTCAAAGCAAACTGCATCTCTGATTGAACTAGCAAAAGTCAGACCTGAATTTCTTTTACCAAGTCAAAATCAAACCAATAACAACCAATTCAAGAACAGAACTTCCAGTGCAAAGATCAATGATTTGCAGAACAACCAACACCCAACAACCTATAGAAGCAAATAGACCAGAAAAGAGCAACCTTAAATCTCCCAAAAACCCACAATCCAATTTTACTCAAACGCCAAATATTTCAACAGCCAGGCCAAAAAAAAGGCCAACATTAAGAAGCAAACCAAAACCAGAATTCAAGTTTGACCAAAAAAAAAAAGAAAAGAAAAAAAACTTTTGAGTACCTTCCTCTAGTGCCAATTCTAATGAGAGCAACTTTAGCTTCCTGGGTTTGCTGCTCAACAGCAACAGAAGCCTTGACAAACCTCAAAGTTTGTTTCCTTTTTGAAAAGGATTGAGTCTTTAGAGAAAACCCAGTAAAAGAAACAGACCCACTAGTGCAAAAAATGGTTGGACTTGATGGGCGGGACATTAGAGCTTGGCTTGTACGTAGAGAAGATAGAGTCTCCATTGATAAGAGAGAGAGAAGGAGACTGGATGAGAGAGAGAGAGAGAGAGAGAGAGAGAGACAGTGTTATGGTTTAGCTTTGAAGGGATGGTTTTGTTCTGAGTCTGATTCAGTTGGTTAGGGGAAAATGAATCCCCTGCTTGAGTTCTAATGGATCCTGCTTGGAAATGGATAGGATATTGGGATTACATGCTTTTGGTATCCTACTGTATGTTTCATCCGGTTCTGTACAATGTTGGGTCCACCATTCCTTTACCCCTTCTTCCTTTTTTTTTTTTTTTTTAATCCTTTTTGTATTTTTTTTTAAGAACATTTTCTTTTTATGATTATGGAATGTTTGGTCCAATTTTCACCTATACTAAATTGAATTCCATGATCTACAAAGTTGCATATTTGAAAAAATATATATATTTTTTCTCTTGATAACGGTTCAGTATTGAATTTCAATTTCAATATTTCAATTATAACAATAATTATGAATATTTGTAAACTTCATACATATATCTTTAATCAAATATTTTATGTATTTATGATTTTTATAAAAAAATATATATTTTGCTAGAGCAAGACATCCACATTATAGAATAGACCCTAATATATATATAACTACAGTAAAATTATTATTCATTATTCATTCATTATTTGAAACACAGTTCATACATTCTAAAATCACTATTACTTTCACTATTTATATATATATATATATATATATATATATATATATATATATATATATATATATATATATTGTTTTTTTATAACACTTTGATCTTCAAATTTTTTATACTTTTTTTTTCAATTTCAAACTTTAATTGTATTATGATTTGATACCATTTTGTCTTAGTATTTTTTATTAATTATTTTTATTATTTAAAATTTTTCACTTTAATTTGTCATTTTTTTTTAAATTCTCATCCAATTAATTTAAAATTATATTTACCGATAGTTTTGTTTTATTTCTTTATATGTATAGATTTTGGAATAAATTTTTAGAACATGATTATTTTTTCTTTTGAAAAATAGATTTAGATAATTTTTAAATTACGAGTGGCATGGTTAATATATATAATTTATCTGAAATACATTTTTAGTCCTCAATTTTTCTATACATCTTTTTTTTTTAATTTTAAACTTTAATTGTATTATGATCTGATCCCATTTTATTTTATTTTTTTGTTAATTATTTTTATTATTTAAAATTAACTAATTTAATTTATCTTTTTTTAAAAAAAATTCTCATCCAATTAATTTAAAATTTTATGGTCCTCAATTTTTCTATACATTTTTTTTTCAATTTTAAACTTTAATTGTATTGTGATTTGATCCCATTTTGTTTTAGTGCTTTTTATTAATTATTTTATTATTTAAAATTTACTACTTTAATTTGTCATTTTTTAAAAATTCTCATCCAATTAATTTAAAATTATATTTACTCACAATTTTGATTTATTTTTCTATATGTATAGATTTTGAAATAAATTTTTAGAACATGATTTTTTTTCTTTTGAAAAATAGATTTAGATAATTTTTAAATTATAGTGGCATTATTAATATATATAATTTGTCTAAAATATATTTCAAATAATTTTTTCTTAACACGAGCTTGTTATCATAGAGTTTTTGTTATTCATACGAGTCCGCCATTGTTCCTTACAATGGGGGAGAAAAGAGGGCGGCTTGGCCATCACTGGGACAATCTTCGAGGACCACTAATATGGAGTTCTCCACCTAGCAAACACGAGTCTATATCTCGGAAAATAGAATGATAAGTATATGGGAAAATAGTAGGTTGATGGGGTAATCGGTGATGGTAAGCTTCCAACTATGGCTTTCTACACCACTAGGTAGTCCAAGTAAATGGGATTTGCAGCGAGGAACAACAAACATCTACTTTGACATATGCCAAGGCGGTGACACACTTATATGAACCGGCGACTAGTAACCCTAAAATATCAAAAACTTATCCCCTCAAAGATATTCCCCGAACACCACGGCAATCGTTACTATTAATTATGAGCCGACCTACTTTTTCTCACCATTTGCGTTATAGATAAAAGCTTCCCAATTTAGCAACACATTGATTCCGAAATTCTCGGGGGAAGACCACCAATCAAGGATATTCAAAGCCATATTCAAAGGATGTGGAGGCTTTCGGGTGAACCGAGTTGTTGGTCTTCTTGATCCAAGACATGTCATGGTAAGATTGGAAACAAAAGAAGATTTGATCCAAGCTTTGTCAAGAGAAGATCACAAGACACAAAGCTCCATATATCATATCTTTAGATGGAACTCGGAGTTTCAATTCCGTAAAGACAACCCTCATGTTTCGATTTGGGTGAGACTTCATCATCTTACCATTGATTTTTTTCAATCCTTCTTACTTGAAAAAGTTAGGAGAAAGGATTAGGAGATTTTTGCTTGCACATGAGAGGAAACACTACACCAAAAAAGGGCATTGTAGACGGGTTTTTTTTGCTTCTAAAGGCGGTTATAACCACCTCTATAGGTTATGAGGCGGTTTTCGGGACCGCCCCAAGACCACCCGCAATGCCGCCGTCTATACGATGTAGGGGCGGCTTTAGCAACCGCGGGGGATTTCGAGGCGGTTGCTTGGGGCGGTTGAAACCGCCTAAAAAAAATTTTTGATGCGGTTCAAACCGCCTCTACGAGTACCAATATTTTGGTCAAAGTTTTTTGGTGCGTATTTTTTGGGGCGGTTGTACATTCCAAAAGTTTGCAAATTTAAAATCGCCCCAAACTATAAAATTCATAATTTGTAGAGCGGTTATAACCGCCTCTACATTCCGCAGTTTATAATTTGTGCATAATAAATGAATTTTGTCCCAAATTTATACGGATTTTATAATTCATCCTCCGAATTCAATTGTTTTTTTTTATTTTGTCAAAAAATAAATAAATAAAAGAAAAGTAAATCTTGTTGAATGCAAATAAAATAAAAAAAATTATATAACTTACAAAATATTCTTAAATTTGTAATTATCAAATTCCAAATACATAAAAAGTCATCAAACATTCACAAGTAAAAATAAAAAATAAAAAACTAAAGGATTAAACACTTGTTAGAAATAGATAAAAAAAATTCCAAATGAAAACTTCAACTTGTACTAGTATCGAATTTGCTCGATAACACTCCATAGCTTTATCAAGGTTGTCTCGGTCTTTGTATATTATGCCTAAATTGTTGCATGCCTCCGGACAATGAGGATTGAAGTGGAAAGCGAGTTCATAAAACACAATTGCCTGCTCAAATATAATAGATTTACTCAATCAATGAATGATAAAATTACTGCAATAAAAAGTAAATAAAACTATCTAAAAACTTAGTGTTACTACACATATAACTTTGTTTGCATGCTCGCTATAAATTGGCACAAGTACAAATGGATATGTAGTAAAGAACGTGGTAAAATTCTTAAAAGACCACTCACCATTTCAAACTTCAACATCTCACCATAAGCAACACCAAGATTATACATAGCGTCGGCATAGTGCCAATTATAATATAAAGCCTTCTTGTAATATGCCACGTCTTGATTTATATCTCCTTCAAGTTTAACCTAAATACACAAATGACTAAATCCAAAATCAAGCATATAAAAAAAAAGTACTCTACAAAAAGTTTTCATGAAAAGACAAGCTACTTGAACATCTCAATAACACAATTCGACGAGTGAGTAAAACAAACGGAATATAAGGAAAGACTCGCAAATGTGGATTCACGACTATTATAAGATTAAATATGAAGGATGGAAAAAACCCACTTTTGTTCCTAAATTTGTCAATGCTATTGTCATATTATTCTTTGCAATGTCGAAGTTTCATAACAATATAATTACGCAACAAGCATCGGCAGAGAGCGAGCAACATAGAAAGATATATACACGTTACATAAAGGGCCAAATTGCAAAGTTAAATAAGTAGCAGGCATACCTCTCATAACAAGCAATGGCTGATTCTAGGTCACTTCTATTTTTATAGATGACACCCATGTTGCAATATGCTTCAACATACATGGGCCTCTCCATTGTAGCCTTTTTATAGCAACTAAGGGCGGTGTTATATTGCATCATTTCGGAATACACAACACCAAGGTTATAATATGTAGGTCGTAAATAAGATGTATGACTATTTACTTATGAAGAGTTGAAAATAAAAATAGAAGCACCGAATTTTGGGAGTGGGAATGAGAAAACATGATATTACAATATAGTGTGGATCTACTTTTAAGAGCTTCATAATACTTTTAAATTCCCTCTTGTGTATTACCCGAGAGCTTTAAGTCGGTTCCAAGATCTCGTTAAAACAATGGCTAGGCACTCGAAGTCGGCTTGCATAAAGGATCGGTTTTCGAGCCTTGTGATATGACTACACTAGGAAAAAATCACTAAACTCTTATAAATCAAATTTATTATATATAGTTACAAAGCCAAACTACCCAAAGCATGACTAGCTCATATATAAACACGCATATAATTAGCAAAGACATAGTTCCAATACCTTGTAGAATGCTTTCATAAAATATTATGGCAAAAGGTGGTAAATACACCCTTATGCATAGCGACTCTCGAGTCGACTTTGATAGACAAGAATTTCATAGCTACCTAGAACATTTCCTTAAAAAAAGAAGCCATGATAACTCAATATTCCAAATAGATGTGCTAGAAATTCCTTGGTTTTTTACCGAAGGAAGACATGAGCTAAAATATTTCAAGTTTATGCTTATTATACTCTTCATAACTCTTCTTATTTAGAATACAAGATTTCCATAGTTCGGATGCACCCTCTCAAAACAATCCAATAACATAACATACGTAGAAGAAGAAACTTAAAAAGAAGTGTTACCCCTATTTTTTGACAGAGAAGAAGGTATTCATCTAGCATCTTATGCATATCTTGCCTTTCAATTTCCCAATATGCCATCACTTCCGTTCTTTCGACTTGCTGGCTCGGAATTTGGTACCCACTGTAATTCAAAAAACATAAATATTAACCCAATTGGGGATGAAATGGTCATGTTAACCCATTGCTTAAACTCATGATCACCCCAACCATACAAACTTGTAGGATGAAATGGTCAATTTAACCAATCAAAAAGAAAAGGGAAGACGGATGGCAAGACCAATATTGTTGTTTCCACAATGAGCAAAACCATGAAACCGAACTCACCTTATAAATGGCATGTTTATCTACTTATGAAACAATTCGATGGTACACACATGGCCCCTTAAATAGACTTGCTTTGTTTATTGTAAAATAGCAACAACTTGGGCATAAAACACCTTATTCCCTCACACTTGGGCTCTTCCATTCTAAGTGTAGAGTCCGGAGCCAAAGCCAAAGAACAAGGCTTAGACCAAAACATTTTATCCAAATTCAGTTCGTTAAAGAAAAACATACACTTCAATCCCACCATCAAGAAGCTAACTTAACATTATTCACAAAAGTGAAAACCCTCTCGCTAACTTAACATCATGCACTTCAATCCCACAATCAAGGCATTCGCTACAGGCACAACCCCTTCTATACAATTGAAAAGCTTAATCTAATTGATTGGCCCAAAAATCCCAATAATCAAGAACATATACACAAAGCAAAAAATCATTAGATGAAAGCAGAGCATTTAACCTGGAGTGAAGCATTACATCCAAATTTAACCTCTAATAACTAGAATGAAGCACAATTTATCCGAAACTAGTTATTGAATCCTCTCAAAGAAAAAAAGTCTATAATGGCTTTATCTTTCAAGTGCAGCTACCATTGCATCTAATTGAATAACGATGGATACATCAAGAAATTAATTAAAAAATAGAGAGAAAAGAACGTATAAAAATTAATTTAGCATACTTACCATTAGAGAGATCAATGAGAAAATCAATAATAAGCACCCAATTGATTTGAAATAAGTCAATTTATGGATAGGAAAGACTCTTAAAATTAGAAATTAGGTTTTTTGGTAGATAGTTATAATTTAGTTTTTAACAAGGAGAGAAAGACAAACCTAGGGAGAAGAAGGAAGAAGCGAGTCGATGAAGGAAACCCTAAGAGGAGAGGGATAATGAAGCATCCCTTCTCCCTTTCGAACCAAAAAAAAAAAAAAAGAAGACGAAAGAAGCGAGAGGAGAAGAAGGGAAGCTCTCGACAATGAAGCGTTACAAAAGTTTAATCTTTTCCCTTTCGAATAAAAAAAAAGTAGAAGAAAGGAAAGTAAAGGAGAATAAGCGTAGGAGAAGAAGGAAAACCTAAGAGGAGAGGGATAATGAAGCGTTTGATCCGATCCGATCTTCTCCCTTTTAGAAAAAAAATTTAGAAATAAAAAAACGTGCTTCTCCCTAAAACTTAGGGCGGTTCGATGAACCGCCTCAAATTTGTTTCTATAAAATGCATATGAGTTAAAAAACCATTAAACTTTGAAAACCGCCTCAATTATATCGCCTCTATACGTCGATTTTGTTATAGTGAAATTGACATTGAGACACCAATGTCGGCAAGGATTTGTATAGAGGTGGATGTATTGAAGCTTTTACCTAAAAGAATATGGATTGGGAGATCTAAAGAGCATAGCTTCGGTAAAATATTGAGTATGGAGGGAATGTGCTATACTACTCATATTATAGTTTAACTGGACACTACGAAGAGACTTGTCGAAAGAGAAGCAAAGTTCATAAAGGTGGTAATATCAAGGTGAATATGGATGAGGATGATAATAGTGGAGCATAAGGGGAATTAATTTCGAAGGTACAAAAGGAGCGAGTGGACTCGAGTGATTGAAAAGGCTAGAAAAAACAATAAAAAGAGGAGTAAGGAGAATCTAGTAACCCAACAACAAGGTGTAAGTGTTTTTGAGAAGGGGGAAGGTAGTAAGGTGAGCCGGAATCATTTACTAGCTTCATTGGGCAAGCCGGAGATTTTGGTTAACGGTAATATAGAAGGAGGAAATACTGGTGAGAGTAGGCAAAACATTGAGATTTGTGGATATAGGTATTGGAATTGGAAGGAGGGGAGACATCTCATATGTAAGTTATGAGGATAAAGGTAAAATGGGGCTTGTGAAGAATGATGAACGAAGCATGCAACGAATATGAACACTACGAGTAGTGGAGCGCCTAAATATGGGCGACTTAGAGTTAAGTATGATACAAAGGGAGAGGGACATTGGTGATATCCAATCGGTGGATGAAGGTGATAGTCTCATGGATAGTAATCCATTTGCGGCTTTGGATACGATTGAGGAAAAAGGGGAAGTTAGGGGATGACAAAGATGTCCCTCAATCCAATTTCGCATTTGTCAAAAAATGATAGCGACAATGATTAGTGCAATTGACATGTTAGGAGTGGGCATTACCAAGGACAAGTAATCGGATAGAAAGGATTCGTGGTTGAAGGTGGAAAAGATGTAGTCTCTTCTTTATTGCCAAATAAGAATGGAAGTTCGATGGGTAGAGCAATATATGTGATCAAGACCGGCATCTAGTCGGTGGATGAAGTTGATATTCCTATAGATCGTAGTCCATTTCTAGCTTTAGATATAATAAAGAAGGATAAGGAAGTTAGGGGGTGATAAAGACGTCCCTCAATCCAATTTCGGATTTACGAAACATGATAGCGGAAAAGATTAATGCAATTGACGAGTAAAGTGTGGCCATTACCAAGGACAAGCAATCGAACGGAAAGGATTCTATGGCTCGAGGTGAAAAAGATGTAGCCTCTCCTTTAGTGAGGAATAAGGATGGAAGTTTGATGGGCGAGCAATATGTGTAGTCAAGACTAGCATCAAGCCGACCATACATACATGTGCAAGAGGATAGTGGGGTTTTTATTAGAGCTGGCATAAAAGAATCTCATACTTGGAAAGAGTCCATTTCGGAGGGTGAAATAGAGCATGAGTCACAACGTGGTAGAGACTGTTTTTGGTAAGTTTAGAAGTTTGGGATGTTAAATTCGGGGCGATAAAGAAGACATTTAAAAATTTTCAAAAACTAGCCAAGAACGGAAATTACGATTAACCGATTGTGGCAAAAAGACAAGGATAACTTATAAAGTGTTAGGTAATCTCCATACATCTCATTAATTTTGTTAGGAATTATATGGAATATGAGGGGAATAAAAAATAAAGACATTATTAACTATGTTAAATTATTAATAAAATAACATAAGTCGAAGTTTTTGGCAATTATAGATCCTAAACTAAGAGGGGATAAAGTACATGATACAACGAAGGCTATTAATTCTAAATGTTATATATAGTTTAATTCAATGAATAAGCATATTTGGGTGTATTGGGATGAGGAGTTCATGGTGACTTACGAGGCGGTTCATAAGCGAGTAGTTATGGTAAATATAACGAGTTCGATAATTGATGTTTTGAGAGTCTCTATATTATATGGTAGTTGTAATAGGGGAGAGCGACGGGAGTTATGGGCTAAATTGGATAGGTTGAACTTAGTTAACCGGGTCCCGTGGATTATGGGTAGAGACTTTAACATAGTGAATGCTATTAATTGTACATGATATAGCGAAGGCTATTAATTGTAAATGTAATATGTAGTTTAATTTAGTGAATAAGCATATTTAGATGTATTGGGATGAGGAGTTCATGGTGACTTATAAGGTAGTTCATAAGCAAATAGTTATGGTAAATATAACGAGTTCGATAATTGGTGTTTTAAGAGTCTCTATAGTATATGGTAGTTGTAATAGCAAGGTAGACATGAGTTACGGACTAAACTTGGATAGGTTGAAATTAGTTAACCAAGACTCGTGGATTATGGGTAGAGACTTTAACATAATAGCGATCTGCAGATGAAAAGATAAGGGGAATTACTATGATATACATGGCATGTTGGAATTTACTACATGCTTGTGATAGAATTGGTATGGCTAATCTAGGATATCGGGGTTCTAAATATGCCTAGTGTAATAACCAATCGAGTCGGGTTAGAATTTGGGAGAGACTTGGATAGAGTTTTAGGGAATGGATCTTTCTTAGTCATTGTGCCTAATCTAAACATTCAACATCTTGGTTGTACGAGTTTCGGATCATAGTTCTATGGTAATTCGGATTGAGCAACCAAAAAATGGTATAAAGATGTTTTGGTTTAAATAGATGTGGTTTGAACACAATGATTTTATAGGGTTTGTGAGGAATAATTGGGCAATTAGTGTGAGTGGTTCTCCTATGGAAGTCTTGCATCAAAAGTTGAAATATCCTAGGAGTAGACTAAGGACGTGGAATTGGGAGCTTTTTGGAAATATTATAAGGAAAATAAAGGTTTTGCGGGATGATATAGTTTAGATACACTCGGATTTGAGTCAAGGGTGGAATAATCAATCAGCTGTTGTGTTACGGGGAAAAAAGACCGAGTTAACGCAACTTATTCGAGTAGGATGAAGACATGTTGAGAAAAAAGGCTAGGGTTAAGTGGATTAAGGAAGGGGATAGGAATATAACTTTTTCCATGCATGTATAAAAGATAATGTACGTGGATTGACATTTAGCCTTCGAGAGATAGGATGGCTCGGTTATGGAAGATGTGACCGATATTGGGAATGAGGCAATTAATTTCTTTTAAACTTTATTCACGGCTAGACATACGATCATGTATGATTCTTTATTTGCGAGGAATTAACAAGTCCATCACAACCGACATGAATGATTAGCTAACAAAGGTTCTTGAAGAGGGAGAGATTTAGGGTGCGATTGAGGGGTTAAGATCTTCAAGTGTGCCAAGATGGGATGGCTTTACGGGGCATTTTTACAAGGGTTGCTAGGAGGTTATTCGGTTAGATATGGTAGTCGTTGTTCGGGATTTTTCGGAGGCGACCATTGAGCTAGAGTTATGTCTATTACTATTCTAGTTTTGATTCTTAAGGTAGATTGCCCAAGTTGTCTTGGTGATTTATATCCTATTAATCTATCAAATTTCAATTGTAAGATAATTTCAAAAATTTTGACTAATAGATCGAGTATATTGTTGCCCAATTTGATTGATAAAAAACAAACCGATTTTATTAAAAGGTCATAGTATAACTGAAAATGTGGCTATAGCACAAGAATTAGTTATGGGTTTAAATAGAAAAATGCATAGGGGTAATCCGACTTTGAAATTTGATATGTCAAAGACTTATGATCGAGTAGAATGGCTTTTCTTACTAAGGGTAATGGGAGAGATGGACTTCGAGTGAATGGTGGTGTGATTTGGTGTATAGATGCATAAGCAATGTGTGGTATATTATCCGATTGCAAGGAAAAAACTTTAGTTTTTTTAAGTCCGATAGAGGGGTTCGTCAAGGGGATCCATTTTCTCCACTCGTTTTTCATTTTAGCTTAGTAAGTTTTGTCTCTTAATTTGAAGAAATATAATGCGAGAGGGATATATTCGGCCATATGCCTTGGGAAGGAATATCTTATCGATTTCTCACCTTTTTTATGCGGACGATATGCTCTTTTTCCGAATGGATCAAAGAGATCATTGATGATATTGAGGGTTTTGGTTACTCGATATGAAGAATATTTAGGAAAACTCCTAAATATGGCTAAGAGTGGGTTTTACATGTCCAAGAATATGGGATCTCAAAAAATAGCAACCATCAAGCGAGTGGATAGGATGTAGGCATTTTCATTTTTCGATGGATTATTTAGGAGTGTCGTTATTTATCGGGAGAATGCACCAACTGTATTTTTTACCTTTGGAGATGAAAATTAAACAAAGATTATGTGGATGGAAGACAAAATTATTATCTTTTGGGGTCCGAGTGACGTTGCTACGATTAGTAATAAGCGGTATCCCATTTCATGTCATGGCAACAATCCGGATACCAAAAGGGACTTTAAGTCGAATTGAAAGGAAAATGGCCAACTTCCTATGGAGTTCTTTAAGAGAAAATAAACATCACTTGGATAGGCTAGAATCAAGCTTGTAGACCTAAAAAAGAAAAAAGGGTTGGGGCTTAGAACTTTGGGTCATGTAATGTTGGCTTTGTAAGCAAAGTTAGCTTGGTCTTAAATTCGGGGTTCAACCCTTTGGGCTTGGTTTTGCATACTAAACATGGGGACAAAGGCGATACTACGGTTAGCTCTTCTCATATATGAAAGGCCATAACATCCCGAGTTGTCGATGGTACAATCGGTGAGTCAATAGGTAATAGGAAAGAGAGACATACCTTTTTGGAATACGAATTAGTGTGGTGTTATATTGGATGGACCTCGTCCTATAGACGAAAGGCTGGAGGTGAGAGAAGCATTTTAGGAATTGAATGAGTTCATGCCATACATTCCTATTGCATATTGCAATGAGGTAATACATATTCGGTGTGATGACTTAACCGATAATAGATCGATATGTACTTTGACTAATTCAAGTAAGTTTGAGACCAAGGCTTATTGAGAGCATTGCCGCAACTCCTTTTCCATGTGGTCGTAGGCTATAAAAGAATTTAGAATTCCTACATTCCAATAAGAGTGACTTGTTTTCATTTGGAAGTGGTTTAGAGGTGCATTATCGGTAGAGTCTAAAATTTAGGAACTATGTATTCCTTTAGTTTCTATATGTCACTATTGTCAAGATCATAGAGACGAGACTATGGAGTATCTTTTTTAGAGTCCAACATTGCTAGTGAGTTATGGGCATATTTTGACCATATTTTTGGGTTCGGGAATTTCTTGAATTCGCTAGAGGAGTATGCGGGAGCTTGGTTTACATCTATATCAATTCGAGCGTGTATGTGTCAAATAAGCACTCTTTGTTTTGTGTTATGGGAAATATGGAAATGTCAATTCGGGGCTAACTATGAGGATGAGGCAATACGGAGTTACGGACATCATTTGAAGAATACGGATTGACATATAGGATATGTGTATGCTTTATAAGTCGAAGATGGCTATGAATGTGATTGCTTTAAATAAAATACCTATGCTTGGCATTAATATTGTGCGACCAAAACTATTACAAGGGATATGGCTCAAGTGGGATCCCTTTCCGAAGGTAAATTTACACTAAATGTGGATGGATAAGCTAGTGATGGTTTTATGTACGAGTGGAGAGGTAATTCAAAATGATCAATTTTTTATGGTGAGAGGATGAATTCAAAAACTAAGTCTTGACATTTCACGACGAATTATTGTTATGTAAAGAGTTGGGTTTACTTTCAATTATTATTGAATTTGACTCTCCGACGATAGTTAATACAATCCGAGGCCTTATTAAGATTCCTAGGTAGTTTTCTTATACCTTTCGTGAGCGTCAAAGGTTGGTATATGACCATATGATTAAGCATATATGGAGGGAGCGAGAACATGTTGGTAGATAGGTTAGCTAATGATTCCATTAGGTTTGAGACTAGTAATGAGTCTAGGTCTTTCTCTCATCTACCTTTAGAGGTTAAACTTGTCGGTAGACATGATAGAATGGGCTTGTTTAATTACGGAGTGTCGGCTAGACTTTAGGGGTTAGGCTTCCTTTGCCCTCCCAATTTGTTGGGTTAGGTCTGGATTGTCCCCTAATGTATTTTTTTTCACTTTTATTATTAATAAATTGTCCGAGTACCGTCCCTATTTTCAAAAAAGAAAAAGAAATCACTTTTATTATTAATAAATTGTCCGGGTACCATCCCTATTTCCAAAAAAAAATTCTTAGAAAAATACTCAAATTAGTTAATTCATAGTTGAAAGTCAAATGTGAAAAATAAAAAAAAGATGGTTGCTCCGTGCGTGAGGCCTATATTCAAGGACTAGTAATGCATAACATAGAAATAAAAAATTATTTAAGGAGGAAAAAGAAAAAGAGAAAAAGAATTTACATGTTTTATTAATTTTCTTCTTCTTTATATAATCAAAATCAATCGAAATCAAATTTGTAATAATTTTTATTTTAGTCTATTAACATCAAATTTAGTCAATAGATTCCTTGCAAGTTAATTTTTTTTTATAGTATTTTTTGTTTAGATTGAAAACCCTTAACTCACATAATATAGAATTTTGAATTGTTGTTTGTTTTAGAAATTAATCTGTACAACTACTATACTAAGCATTTACTATTTATTTATTTATTTTTAAATATTTTAAAATTGACTTATTTTAAATTAAATAATTAAAATTATGTTTTGGCTTAACCACTCAATGATTCAAATTAATATAGTTTTTTATTTTAGTATTATTCATTTTTTTGTAAATAAATATATAAAAATTAAATTCACATTTTTTTCAAAAATCAATATTGTCATCAAAATTAAATAAAAAAAAATATTTGTTCAATTCTATATAAGCTTTTAATAATTTTTATTTTTGTTTTTCGACACAATCTTATAAAATACTTGCGTTTTTTTTAAAAAAATTATTATTATTATTATTATTAATAATCCAAGGATTAACAAGGATAAATTCTTTTTCTAAAAGAAAAATTATAAAAAACACAAATAAGAAATAGTTAAATACAAAATATTTGATTAAAAAATTATGAATAATTTTTTTCACCTTTGATTTTATATATTTTTATAGATTTACACCATAAAATAGACTATCGAAATGAAATAATTTTTTTAAATAATTTTATATATTTTATTAAATCCGTAATGTAGTGAAAAAAAAAAAAACTAATATCACACTATACTATACGGTTATAATGAATTTGGTGAGAAGCTTGATACTTGCCCTTGAAGTAGAGTATATATATACTAGTCCAATGATAAAGGAATTAAAAATCTCAAACTTGGGAAAAGACAGCTTATTGAATCATGGATAAGAAAATAAAATTTCCCAATTAGTGCAAAATGTTTCATACATAAAACGTAAATGTACAGATTATAACTTTCAAATGATTGCTTACATCATTTATTGATTAAGTAGTGTTTGGTACAAAGTTAAAAAATAAGGATGAATAATTTTTAAAAAAGTCAACTGAATAGTGAATTGTTAATGATCATAAAAATAATTAAATTAAATTTTAGTAATAATATGCGACATATAAATAATTTTATGTACCTGTTTTGAGGAAAAAAAAAAGACGAAAAGAAGAAAATTAATATGTTTGGAGGGCAATGGATAATGATTACCCCTTTAATAATTCAACTTTTCCAAAAATAAATAAAACAAACTTAAATTTCACAAGGGTTAAGTTTAGCTCTCATTGATCCCCACCAATATATAACCTTAACAACACAGTTAATGTCTATCAGACTACCACACAGAAATGTTTAGGGAAGAAGAGAAGATGCCTAGCATGATTGAGAAGAGTCTGTCAGCATAGCCAAGGAGACTGCCCAAAACCAATAAAGGAGTTGCTAACTCGAACCACTTTAGATGTAGCGTGGGCAAGTCGTCCTTGGCTTTCAAACAAGACTCTTATCTTCATGTTAGACCATCATCTCAATGAGATACGGTCATGTCAATCAAGACATCATCATCTCAATGATATAAGGTCATGTCAATCAAGACTGCATGCTTAGTGGAAGAAAACAAGTAGGGCCTGGCATGAAAGAGAAGAGCCTGTCAAGTAAGCCAAGCTGATGATTGCCTGGGAACCACAGTGAGGGATCAAATTTATATGTTTATCTCAGCTTGACTCCTCATTGTAAGAGCAGGCAAATCATCCTTGGCTACCAAACAAAACCCTTTTCTTCATGTTAGAACTCTCTTCTCAAATCCATGCTCAAATGGGTTGATGAATTTAGGTCTCAATGCTGTCCATTTATACTTAACCAGAGAATAAAGATTAGATACAAATGGTAATATTATTTGGTTCTCTTCAATCCATTTGCTTCATCTATCACTTTTCTCCATTTAGCTGCCCCATAATGGAATATATTCACTCACCCTTTCCTATCTTGAAATACTATGGTTTTGACCTCAAATTAGAAAACAGAAAGCATATTATGATCTTCTAAGATGATTGTGAGTTGTGACACCTTTCTTGATGCAATTGTTGTGGTGGACAAAGCGTTCTACTATCCTCAACTTTTTGCCACGCTTCACAATCGAGTCAATATTCCAAATTCTTAACATCAACCAAACTGAGATGATCCCCACCTATAAAGCAAACTAAAGTCAATGCATTTTCCACAATAGGATAGTGGAGGTAGCTTCGCATTAGTTGACTTTGTGAAGGTTTTTGCATCCAGATGAGTGTCTTTGCTGATAATTATCATGATGTTCTAAGGGCTAAAGGCCTAAAATGGCAGTGGTAGATGAAAACTTTGAATAGGATAAATGACTGCATAGTTAATTAAAGAGGTTACAATAAAATTTGGCAGTCCTGATAGTAATTCAGAAAATACAATATCTAACATGCTCCTTGAAAAGTTCTCAAAAAAGGTTGCAAACCCTGAACCAAAGTTTAGTGTACTGCCAATTATATTCATGGAGAAAGCGTACTTCAATTAGCCCAAAAGTAAAATCTAGTGGTAGAAATAAACTTGTTCAATTCCAAAATGTTCAAGGCTACCTATTAGCCATCAGATCACAAGCTGATCGTATTACTTATGGCATGGATTTTGTTTGTTGAATGGCATGTTATCTTTTAATATCCTAAATTTATTTGTGCTTTCGGTGAATATAAAACATTTAGATTGACGCAGAAGCAAAATCTAAAAGTTCATATACTTGCTGCTAAATGTGTCTCATTAATCCCTATTTTCATTTTAGTTTTTGAAGGTAGTAGGCTTGGATTTTGGAATCGTCATCCAATTTTGTCGATGATCACTCTCAGAATCCTTTGCTTTTGTGTTAATTCAAGATCTCAGCTTTTAACCAGTTTCTATGCTGTATAATCTGGGTTGCTTAAGAAAACTTTTGAGTGCTAGTGTACTTTGGTCTACTCGCTTGTCCATTACTTGTCTATTTTGTATACAGATGCCGTAATTGTATTTCAAATGTTATTGGGTTTTAATGTTGATGGATCCGAATGATACGTGTGGACATGGATGATATATGTCACCTTTTTCTTTTCTGTAAGAGCTCCAAAGAGCATACACCCAATCAATCCCATTGTGCACGGAGTCCTTAAGGGCCGACCAGTCCCCTAGAAAAGTATCGTAGCCCCAACAATCCAGGGTACTCTTCCTGAATAGGTAAAAGTCCACATCACTATCCTCACTACAAAAAAAATAGAATTAGCGACGGTCAATATGTCGCTAATTTAGCAAAATCCATCACTAATTTTAATTAGCGATGGTCAAAAAATCATCCGTAAAATGCCAATCGCTAAAATTTTGTGACGGTTTTTGGACGGTCGCTAATTTAGCGATGGAAAAAACCGTCACAAAATTAAAAGAAATTATCGCAAAAAATGATAGTAGAAGCGAGGAAAATTTTGTGATGGTAAACAAAACCGTCACCGATATTTGGAATTAGACCATCACTAATTTCATCGTAAAAAAATTAACGACGATCTAGACCGTTGCTAATTCCATCGCAAAAGAAGTAGCGACAGTCTAGTTGCTAAAATATTATTATTATTATGTTGTACCCTCATTTTAAATTAACCAATTTCTATTTAAAAGTTTACAAAATACCTAAAACATAATATTTTAAAATTTCATAATTTTTATTATAAAATTTATTAAAATATAATAAATATTATTCAATTATTAAATTCTTGAAAAAAGTAGAAAGTTTGTTGTTATTACATGATAGCTAGGAGAGATTGGTAGGATCGTAACTTAGAGGTTGGATGGAATCATTTGGAGGCTAGGTGGAGTCGTCATCGGTGTTAGGCAAGACGGATGAACTGTCACTTTGCTGAAAATGCCTGCAGACAACATCTGCTGCATCTATGTCATCATCATATGTTGCTATCGAGTGTACCCCTTCTACTCATTTGTTGTAGCCATTAGCGTTATGACAATACCCGATAGCTCTTGGATCTCTTGCGTATTTACAATAGTTTGATCCTTGCTTTCCTTTTGTTGTGCCTCATCACTAACATGAACTCGCGAAGTTGTCGAACCGGAGGCCGTATTGACGTTAGAGTAATAGTGAGATGTGTGTGACCCAAGTCCGTACATCCTCTTCCTCTTACTATTTTCTCCACCAATGACTTTCCTAAAAATCTCATTAATATTGATGTTGGTCGATGAAGTCCCCTCGATCCGTTAGCTAGCAACCTCCTCCTCATTTATTAATCTTTCTACGATCTCTCACATAATTGTGAAAGACATAATATTAAACAACTATGTGAAATAACAATATAATTTAATATGTATGAAATAACGTTATAAAGTAACTAATAACTTACATCGATAACTCTTGACCATTGATCGACGAAGACACATTGATTATTAATCTTTCTTTGATGAGTGCTCAAGAAAACCTCTTGAGGATTAGGTTCATGATCCAACACCTCATGCTAAAATAGATAAACATAAATGTATTAAATATACTCAAATATTTAATTAATTATTTTAATATCATTATAAAAAATATTATATATATAAACACACACACATACACACACAATACGTATTGCATGCTCCCAATGGCTGATCGATCCCCTAGTATATCTTGAAGAATTAGCTCTTACGCCACTAGTCTCACTCTTGCGATTCCGCACTGCCATCTTAGATCGGGCAATAGTCTCGGGTTTTGCCCATTCTATACTCCATGCATCCCATATGTCCTATGAGCTAAATGTTGGCTTCGGTTAACATGAAAAATTTTAAATATATTTATTTAACTAAATAAACTTAATTACTAATTGATTTTTTAATTACTAAATATAATTTTGAAAATTATTAATTTTTTAATGACTAATTATTTTTGTAATTACTTAACTCCTTTACTCAATAAACAACTAAATAAACTTAATTTTAATTAGTAAAAATAATTTACAAACAAATTAATTTTGTAATTAATTAACTCTTTTATTGGATCAAAATATATTTTTAATCACAACTAAATAAACTTAATTACTAATTAATTTTTTAATTACTAAATATAATTAACAAAAAAATTAATTTTTTAATCACTTCTTAATTTCGTAATTAATTAACTCCTTTACTTAATCAACAACTAAATAAACTTAATTACTAATTAATTTTTAATTCTAAATAAAACTTGAAAATTAATTAATTTTTTAATTACTTAACTCCTTTACTTAATCAACAACTAAATAAACTTAATTACCAATTGATTTTTTAATTACTAAATATAATTTCAAAAATTATTAATTTTTTAATGACTAATTATTTTTGGAATTATCAAAAATTTTAAATATTTCTAATAACTTATTTACAATTTTCTAAAATAATTAACTTTCCAAAATACCATCAATTAAACTAATTAAATTAATAAATAATATTTAATAATAAACTAACTAAATTAACAATTAATAAATACCGATTAAGAATGACAATTAACAATTAAACTAATAACAATAATAATTAAAGTAACAACAAAAATTAATAAAAATTAAATTTCCTTAACAATAAAATTAACAATTAAACAATTAAATTCTCACAATTAACAAAAATTAATAACAATTAAATTTTCTTAACAATTAAACTAACTAAATTAATAATTAACAATGAATTAACTAAGTTAACAATTACCAATAACCAAAAAAAAAAAAAAAATTAAGGAAATAATTGGAAAAAATTAAAAAATTAATTAAGGGGTTAGATAAGGAAGGACTTTTCACCAACACAAGGAGGAGAGTGGGCTTCGTCTAATTATTCGGCTGAAAAATGGCCGATTAAGGAAGGGGGAGAAAGGAAGAAAGAAAGAGGAAAAGGAGAAAGAAAGGGGGAGAGATAGAGGGGAGAAAGGGAAGGAGGGGAGAGAGAGAAAGGAGGAGATTGGAAGGAAAATAAAAAGGAGAGGGGGAGATTTGATGCAAATAGAAGGGAGATTGGCGCCGAGAAGAAGAAGAAGAGAGAGAAGAATTTTTTTTTGTAAATTTTCGGGCAAATTGTTATATAAGGGGTTGAAAGTTTTAGTGACGGTTTGTAAAACCATCGCCAAAAGTCCGAAAAAGTTAAAAAATAGCCATTTCTCTCTTAATTAGTGACGGTTTAGCAATGGTTTTTAAATCATGGCTAATTTACTAATTTTTTGACTTTTTTTTTGGTAAAAAAACTGTTGCAAAAAAGGCTAGAAAAAATAATTATTTTTTAAAATGGAATTAGCGATGATTTTTTTTTGGAAAAAACCGTCGCTAATTTCCATGATTTGTGACGGTTTTTTTTTTTTACAAAAACCGTCCCAAAAAATGGTTACATAATTTTTTTTTTAAACAATTGAAATTAGTGAAGGTTTTTTTTTTGGGAAAAATCGTCACTAATTTCCATGATTTGCAACAATTGTTTTACAAAAACCGTCACAAAAAATGGTTAGAAATTTTTTTTTTAAAAAAATCAAAATCACCTAAAAATATTGTCGCTAATTTCCATGATTAGCATGGTCTTTTTTTACAAAAATTGTCACAAAAATGGCTACGAATTTTTTTTAAAAAAAATTAGAATTAGCGACGATTATTTTGAAAAAACTATCGCAAAAAATTGTTACCAATTTCTCCGGCTAAAGTGCTTCAAATCGTTGCAATTTTAGTCAAAACCGTCGCTAATTTTTCCTCATAAATCCTTTGTTTTTTTATAGTGCCTTTATGACGATATGACAAATAGGAGAAACAAAACATTTAATGGAAATATAATCGATCAAATCAATACTTATCATGGCAATAGTAATGTTGTCAAAAAAAGAATTACACCATACACGAGATCACGTTAGTCAATATAGTCATAATTAAATCAACACTCATCATGGCGATAGTAATGTCGTCAAAAAAAAAAACAATTACACCATACATGAGACCACCTAATGCTATCGACTAGAACCATTAGAATAAAGTGGAACATACGAGTTGACTTTTCTAACCAAACAATTTGGCAAATTATCACCTATATGAGAACCCTAACCACCAAAGGTTTTAGGTTTTCAACTTTACACGCTTCTCTACACCTTAAGAACATCTATTGTTCTTCTTCTTTATTATTCACACATCACATTACATTCTATAAAAAGCCTAATTAGACTAATTCATCTCTCTCCGACTTTTAATTTGATCATCAAAGGGTCTCTCAATTAACTAAAGAGACTTGTTTTGTAGGTATATGGTATATTGAAAAGCCGTAAACTTTATCTATCTCTCATGTTCACATTCAGCCATAACGAGTCACATCACTCTTATTTTACTAAATAAGCTTTCTTAGACTCATCGAGTTGGCACCGTATGTGAGAAATTAAGCAAAAAGCTAGTTTCTCATTTCTCTATTGTGTTTCTTGAGCTTGTTTATAGCTAAACAACATGAAATTTTAGGTCGCAAACCCCTTCGCATTTCACTAGTATTATTGTTTAACCTTTGATTATTTAACTATAACAAGCATGCTCAAAATCTTAGAAAACCATTCCTAACGACCCAATCCCAAATTAAGGTATTGACCTCATCACCATAAGTACCTTTACATTCTCCACCTTTAGAGATGCCTATATTTTCATGCATGACATCGCATGTGGAAAGAGGCATATCCTCTCCCCATACAAATCGACATGGCCTACTCTCATTCAATGAAGCTAAAAAATGATGCAATAGCAAAATGAGTAGAGAATGAGAATGTCGCCTTTCTCTAGAGCTTTAAAGGTGACATGCTCATCTTCCTTTCAAAACAAAAAATGAGCCAAAGGTCTTATAAAGGGAAAGAATAAGAGGAAAGATCAAAGCATCATCATGATCCCAAAAGTTACATATTGTTAGCAAGGATCATCATGAAAGAAATCACAAAAGTTCCTCCTAGTTAGAGATTTCTTTTCTAAGTCTAAAACCTAAGCATCATCATGTAAAAAGAAAACCCAACACCTTTATTCGATCGCATTTCGACCACAAACGACATAATTTTCAAGTATCATCCCTTACTTCTCATATTCTAAATACAAAACTCTCCAAAGATTTCATCTTGAGAAAGATGAATCTAGACATGTATGTGCTTCCTACTATCTTTCAAGACGCTATTAGGAAGTGGTACAATAATCTTGATCGAAAATCTATTTAAAACTTTGAAGACCATAATTCCAAGCTAATCGCTCATTTCTTCAACAACATCCTTACCAAAAAAAGCTCAACGAGACCTTTTCTCAATCACATAAAAAGAAAGAGAAAGTATTTAAGCATACCTTTCCTTTTTTTTTATGAAGAACTACTAAAAAAAGATGGCATGTTAGAGCTAGTGGTAACAAAAGTCCTTATTAAGGGAGTTAATGACACCAACCTATGGAGAAAAATATACGATTTATCCTAGCAAAATGGGCAAGAAAAAAGGATACTAGAAAGCCATATCCGAGTGGAAGAGCTAATAGCAAGAAGAGAAATGCATCCTTGATTCCAAAGGCCAACTAATAAAATAATAATAAAAATTGCTACCAGACCCATTCCAACAAGAGAAATGCATTTTCAATTCCAAATGCCAATTGATAAAATAAGAAGAAAATTCACCACAAGACCATTATAACTTAAAGAAAAACTTAAAAAAGCTTATCTATAGCCACATTGTCTTTCCTAAACTCTAGACTACACCATTGAATATAACTCGGACATAAGTATTTATAGCAATCCAAAGGTAAGGGTATATAAATCGCCCACCTCCGATAAATGACCTTTCTCATCTTCATAACTAAAAAAGTATTGCCATCATCATGAGGATCATAGATATGATAGTTATTATTTCCTAAAGAAATAGAATGAAAGGTTACCATCGGAGGATATCTCAATAGGTTCTTTAAAGATGGTTCGATCACAATTGCTAAAATATAGAGCTCGATAGCCACCAAGATAACCTCCCCGAAATTGTAGTCGATTGTAGGAAAACCCAAACCGAGATAGACCTCACTAAAAAGAAGAAAACAAGAAGAATGTAGTCCTTACCACGGCCTAATTCATAACGTCATGGCGAAGTCCATCACTTACTTATATAAAGACTTAAGTGGCGTGGTCCACCTTTATGATGATGCCTTGGTCATTTCCGCCATTATCTTTAGCCATAGGTTCTACTACAACCTAATAGATAACAAGAGTATGGTTAATATCTTATCCTATGAGACTTTTAGTTTAATGAACTTAGAACCATCCTAGCTTTAGTGGATAAAAGTGTAATTCATTAGCATAAAAAGTAGTCAAGTACTCGTAGAAGAAACTATAAAAATCTCCATCGTACTAGGTGTGTACTCCAAAGACATCACCATACTACCAACCTTCTTCATTGTAAAGATGTGTTTAGCATACAATGCCATTTTTAAGAGACCTCTCCTACATGAGAGATGTGCAGTAACTTGTATATGGTACTTATCCTTAAAATTTCCCATTTGTAAATAAATTACCACAATCAAAGATAACTAACTAACCAAAGGAAGGATCACATCACCATATAAAGACAAAAAGTAACTCGATGAAAGATAATAGGTTGTAAAACCTAGAAAAAAATTACTATAACCCTAGTGTTAGGGGTCTTATAAGATGTACATAATACCTGGAACTTTTTAATATTTTTCCAATCATGCACATACAATGGTGATAAAAGTCTTTGCTAATGTAAACTCCACCTAATGGTTGGATTCATATCCTTCCAAGGACAACAAGCTAAATCACCAACGGGAGAAAGCCTATGGCTATATTCTTAGAAGGACGAATGACCAAATTCCCTAAGAAAAGTCCATGAACATTTTTTTTCTAAAGATAGACAGACTAAACTCCCTCAAAGTCTCACAACCACACCCTCAAAAAGATGAAGGGCTAAATTGCTAACGAGAGAAAGTTTATGGCCATATTACTCGAGAGACAAATGGTCAAATTCCATAGAAGGAGTTCACCACTATATCTCCCGAAGGATGGATGACCAAACATCACAAAAAGATGAATAGACAAATCTCATAGAAAGAACACATGCCTTTTAAAGAATGCACAACCAAACCTTGTCAAAAGCGTATGATTACACCTTGCTTATGACGAATATACATACATACATTTTTCTACAAGAGGTTAGATATGATGTCCGTCCCAAACAATTGGCTTAGTCATTTGTTATATATTTAGAAAAGAAAAAAAGATTGGTCTATTAAACACTAGTGCTCTAGCGAACCCTAGACCCAACACAAAAAAGTAGTAGAACATAGTGCAAGCACAACAACATATAAAGTGGCATAATGTATTAAAGTAAAGTGAGAAGTCACCACAACTTTTAAATAACCCTTCTCTAAAAAAAAAAAAAAGAGGAAATAAGACAAATGAGAAGTCTATCTAGTAGAAGCCTTAACTTCCAAATTATATTAAAATTGATAGGAAAAAAAAGAGAGGAAAAAATAGTTAGTTTGAAATCTATCCCAATTCACCCTAAACAAACAACAAATGAAAAAAAAAATGTAAAAAAAAAATCGGGAAAAGGGGATGTTGAATCCAATCTTATAAAAAACAATAGAGAAATTAAGGGTCATAATTTTGGGATTTTATTGAATGAACCAAGATTATAAAAAAGAGGCATGTAGGCCTAATTACAAGGCAATCATAAAAAGGGTACAATATAAATCTATCTCCAAACTCGTAATTTCTTCCAATCTTTTTTTAGACTTAACCGCCCAAATTTGTTTCTCAAGATGTGAAGAACAACCAAAAAAATGAGGAAAGCTCTCTCTCATAAGAGAATAAGCAAGAATGAGTTGAGTTAGACCTAGTGCCTCTTCAAAAGAAGAAGGAAGAGCTAGTTGAATGAGTTTTTTTAGTGTCGATGCCTAATATTCAACTTATTTGAATAGTTTGAATTGTTGTATCATTACATATTTATATTAATAAAAAATCCATTCTATTAATTTTTTTTATTTACAATTTGATAGAATTAAATAGAAGTCTATACAATATACATTGTATTAGAGATTGATCAATTGATGTGACATGAATATCGATGCATTTAAATTATATCATTAAATATCCCAAGTCATAGTATTATCAAGATTAGACATTGACAATATACGATAGGACTTGTATATGTTATACTCTTACTATTAGATAGGAGTAGGAGATCTCACACATACTGGTATGATGATACTAAAGCAAGCACTTAGATGAATAATGTTAGAAAACATAAATAACTGGATATGACTCGTCATGAAACCCATTTGCTTTAGTCTATAGAAATCTCATAGAAGATGGGAACAACTTATCTTTTGACTTGAAGTCATCACGATTGTCTCATTAGAGGATTGATGTATTTTGGAATTCATTTTGATGGGCTTAGTAAAGAGTTTTATGTAGACGATTTATTATGTGTATTAAGAATCTAATGGAGATAAGTGAATGACCGAGATATGGCATGTCATTCCTTATATACTAAAGGAGTTATCACATTGCACTTCAATGAATGTCTACTTTAGGAATCTATAGCGACAATGGAAGTTTACTAATAAAGCATAATTGGTTTATTTATGAGTTAAGACATTTGAAGGTTGAAGAAAAATTATGTGATCATAATTGCACGTGACTATAAACCAAGTTCGAGATCACATTATGATAAATTGACATGAGGATTGAATTTTATGGACACCATTCTTGTCGCTACCCAACGTCGGACGGGACTCTAAAAAAAAATCTCTAATATCTCTTTAGTTTAAGATTTATTTTTATTTATAGAATTATTTTACGAGTTTGGAGTCGTCACCTAGTATTGAAGAAACTAGGAACCTAAAATGGGTACTCGGTTCGTAGATTCTATGATAAGAAGTTGGTTACGCTTATGGAAAGATATTTAATCACTCAAAAGTGCCCTTTCCTAAGAAAGGTACCATGTCTAGTCTAGTCTTAACTTTATCTCCTAAAGTGTTTTATTTTTGCCAAATTATTTTTCAATTTAAAACTCCAATTTTTCAAGTCCTTTATTTCAAGCCAAATTAAGTTTTTGATTTTTGAGCATGGCATCGTATTAAAACGATCATCGGACCCCTTTCGTCGGGAGACACGTCGGTTCAAACATCAAATCCACTTGTTTGAGTCTCGACACAATCGGTGTGTTGGAGAATACTTGTTTATTACAATGATTTTTTTTTAACAACGAGTCCCTATTAGATAGGAGACTTTGTTAAAGTTTTTATTTACCTATTTTTATTTTTTATTTTTTATTTTTTTATCTTTTGCTCTTTTTTATTTATTATTTTCTTTTGTATTTAGTGGAAGACTGTCATCGGTCCCTAAAGAATTAGGAGACTTGACGAGTCCACCACCCATTACTTACTAAATCTAATTATTAAACAAATAAGTTAAAAGTTACACTAATTAAATAAATGAAAGAAAATTCAAATATTGAAATTTAAATTAATAACATGCATAAAATAAATTCAAAATTAAAATTACATTAATTAAAATAATTACAACAATTAACATATTAAATTCTAAATTAACATAAACTAACAAACATGCATAAAATAGACTCAAGATTAAATTTACATTAAAAATAATTAAAGATCATTTAACATCTAAATAAAAAAATGGAATAACATGCATAAAAATAAATTTTAAATTTTTTTTTGTTTTTTTTTTTTTTGAATTCGGCCTAGGTTGGAATCAATCTAGTCCAAAAGGAAAATTTCGAAGTTGGCTGGACTGATCCGACCATGCCACATGCGGGTTAGGCTAAGCCCAACCCATACTTTTAAAAACAAAACCTTAACCCAAAAACATAACCCAAATCATATTTTCAAAAGTTTTAGATCAAAAACCCAATTTTTATTTTTCCTTTCCGTTCCTCTCTTTCCCGTTTTCTCTTCCTTCTTTCCTTTTTCTTTTTCCTTTCTTTCTTCTTCCTCCTCGTCTTGGCTACCTCTATGGACGAACCAGCTTTTGTTCGTCCACTCCATCTCATTTCCCTCTCTTTCTTCTTCTTTCCCTCTTCTTTCTCTTCTCTTTCCTTTTCTACTTTTCTTCTTCTTCTTTCTCTCTCCTCGTCGAAGCTACCATGGACGAACCGGTGGTGGTTCATCCATGGCCACCTAATTCCTTCCTTTTATCTTTCTTTCCTTTCTCTCTTCCTTTCTTCCTTCCTAAAGCTCATAATTTCTCTTTAGATCGAATACCCCAAATCAATTTTTCTTCAAAAATCTCCAATTTGGTCGAACCCTAAGTTTTGATTTTTCTTCAATTTTTTGTTCAAATGGGTCTAGTTGACTTGATTTCTCTTCAAATCAAATGAATTCAAACCCTTTAGGATTTGAATTTTTGAAAACCCCTAAATCAATTTTTTAAAACAAAATCGGGAACCCTAAGTTTTAATTGAAATCAATTCAGCACCAATTTGGGGTTTAAACCCCAAATTGAAACTCCAATAGACTTCAATTGAGTTTAATTTGTATTTCTCAACTCCAATTTTAAACCAATTTTCAAAAATCCTAAATTTCAACACTAAGCTAAATTGATAGTCAAAAAAATCCGAATTTAAAGAAATATTAAAGAGGTTACCTATAAGAATTGAGTTGAGGATGATGGTGGATTGTTGCTCCGGAAAAAGGTAGAGTCTCTTTCTTTCTTTCTTGTTTTATTTTTGAATTTTGTTCTTCTTTTTTGCTACTCGTTAGTTTTGTTTATTTTTATTTTTTTGCTTGGGTTTTCTCTTCCAATTTCCCTTCCTCACTCGTGTTTGCTTGCTATGTGTATATATATATATATGTGAAATACTAGCTTGGTTCTCCACCATGATGGTGTGAGATTTTTTTGTAGGGCATCAAGTGAGGGTTGGATGGGATTGAGTTTGTGGGCCGTGCAATGGTGAGACTGCTGGAGATTGGCTTGGGGAAAGTGGATTGTGGGCTATGCGGGGTGGTTGGCAAGAAGGGGTTGGGCGATAATAGAGCCGTTGGAATTTGCAGCGAGTAGGGTGGTCAGCGGGTCGAGGTAGGTGCCGAGATTGTTGACCATGGAGGGAGATTGGTAGTTGCAAGTTGAGGGAATTAATTACTATTGGAACCGGAATTCAAGGCTGAAACTAAGAACCAAATTAGTTCCCAATGAAATAGGTTTGCAATAATCGGAACCGGAACCGGTTCAAGAGGAAAAAGGATTTTCAAAATCCTAGAAGCTAGTTACGGGTAGGAGTACGCAACCGGCCGCCCACTCCTCCGCAATTTTGTAATTTTTATGTGCTCGATTTTTTGTAATTTTTGCATTTTGGCCCTCGTAAATTATTATTAGGTCAACTTCATCCATATGCAATGTAATCCGATTCTTGAACTTTGAATGATTCAATTGTATCCCCAATGACTCGTAATTATTTTGAATTTAATGCAATTGCATTCCCGAATATTAAATTCACATTATTTTTATATTTTTTCTTTTTTTTCCTTCTCTTTTTACAAATTATTAAGTAAAATGAAATAAATAAAAATAACAACACCGATTAAGATAAGAAAATAAAATAAAAAAATAACTTAAATATGAAATAAAATAAAAACTAACCAATTAAAAATTAAAAAAACCCGAAATTTTGGTTATGACAATTGCCCCTCTTTGCAATGCTTACAATGCAAACGTTAAATGAAATGTAAATTTTAGGTTGAGTTTGTTTAGTGAGCTTGCAAAGAAGAAAATATAAAAAAATAAATTAAAATCTACTAAAATGACCTAGTTGAGGATGGAATGTCACGTAGGAATGCAATGACTTATGAAAACAAAGTGCAATGACCTTGTTGTTAAGCGCGACCTACCCTAAAAATTAAACGTGCGATATGTGGCTTTATTATCAAATGGCAGACCTACTCGAAAATTAAATGTGCAATACAAGAGAATTAACCATGCAAGCACTCTAAAAACTTAAATATGCAATACACGATCAATTTTGAGGATGGCCAACCCCGAAAAATTAAATACGCAAGACATGACCAACTTGGAGAGTGGCCAACAATAAAAAATTGAATATGCATTACATGGTCAACTTGGAAGGCGACCAACCCCGAAAAATTAAATATACGAGTACACGACCAACTTGAAGGGCGGCCAACTCGAAAAATAAAATATGCATTACATGGTCAACTTGGAGGGCGGCTAACCCCGAAAAATTAAATATGCATTACATGATCAACTTGGAAGGTGACCAACCCCGAATAATTAAATATGCATTACATGGTCAACTTGGATGGCGGCCAACCTTGAAAAATTAAATATGCAGAGTGCACGACCAACTTGAAGGGCGGCCAACCCCGAAAAATTAAATATGCATTACATGATTAACTTGGAAGGTGACCAACCCCGAAAAATTAAATATGCATTACATGGTCAACTTGGAGGGTGGCCAATTCGAAAAATTAAATATGCAGTACACGACCAACTTGGAGGGCGGCTAACCTTGAAAAATTAAATATGCATTAGATGGTCAACTTAGAGGACGACCAACCCCGGAAAATTAAATATGCAAGTACACGACCAACTTGAAGGACGACCAACCATAAAAAATTAAATATGCATTACATGGTCAACTTGGAGGGTGACCAACCTTGAAAAATTAAATATTCATTAATTGCTAGGCAATTTTACTTGTCGTGATGACTTGAGTTAATTGACCTTACTTAAAGTGGAACAAGTCATTTGACATTGGATTCCGCGCTCGGGGGTAATCTGCTATGAGGCGACCATGCCTAAGAGGATTTGAGAGAAATTCGAATTGTCGTGTCCTTGGTAGTTAGTTAATTAGTATTTGTCCCAGCTTTTCTTCTTTTTCCTTAGGGTTGCAGTGTACTCGAAACAAAACTTAATA